CACGATTTTTGCGTCACTGGCTCCAAAAATCCAAGATGTCAACCAGGAAGTAGCAAAACCCTGGCTTCATGTTCTCAGTGCAGAAACCAACGGGTGACGTCACGGTAGCTACGTCCATCTTTTATACAGTCTATGCTGCTTACATCATCACACTCTTGAGGATTTTTTGGTTTCTGGTGAACACCACTGGCAGGACGTCAAAGCACAAACAATGGTGCTGAAGGACAGATGCTCTATGTTCAGTATATATGTGGAGGTTTAAACTGACTGAAGAGTCAGTGAGGATCTGTATGGAGACACTGTGATAAGTGCAATGATGATGAATGCGTTCAGTGTAGCTACGAGTGCTGCAGTGTTGATGTTTGACCTGTCGGCCTCGATTTAAGGAAGTTATACTGAGGTCCTTAAAGACAAAAATGTCCACATCAAAAACAATGCCAAAAAAATCTTCTAGGTTTATATTATTTCTCATTTTCAATTATTTGTTTCTTGTTAATTCAGATAATTACAACCACATATTAATTCATTTCCACATTTTCTGAATTTTAACCCTTTAAATTAGTCGCTAACTCTGATGCATTATTATTTTTTCATCCAGTGTATGGTGTGTTTCTATAAAAATAAATAAATAAATTTTTAAAAATTAAAAAAACAAACAAACTCACACTCAGGACCTTAAAGACAAAGTGTCCTTGTAAAAAAAAAAAACCCCACACACCATCAAAATGTTATTTAATACCTTTATTTTCTACCTTTAATGACTCATTTTGTATCGCCAACATAATGACAAAATATTAATTTATTTTCAGGATTTTAACCCTTTAAATGCCAGTTTGTTGACATGATCCCAATGCTGTTTTTATGAAAAATAGATAAATAAATAACAGAAAAAACATATTATTTTCTATATAATAAGTGCTCTGGAGAAAATTATAGTTTTTATACTTTTAATACTACTAAAGGTCAAAAACTGTATGAAGAAATGCATTCTGATGCTTAAGATAACTGAATCCTCTCACAGGGCAGCAGCAACCACAATCATGCTGGTGTTTAGCAGATTTTATCTCTCAGCTGTAGTAAAAGCAGTGCAGCAGTGTGCAGCTGTGTAACAAGCAGACAACCGTCCACTGTGGCTGTGATTGAGTGTCGTGACAGCTTCATGTCAGAAACGTGGTGATTGTTTGACTGCCGAGGAGCCCGTCAGCTGCTGCTAACTGACCTGACAGCGTAAAGAAAAGCCTCCCACGGAGACCAAAGAGTTGTGTGTGTGTGTGTGTGTGTGTGTGTGTGTGTTGCCATCGCATGCAAACGCAGCGTGATAAATATCTGTAATTGACATAACAAAGCCACATTTCTGGTGACGGCGTGGATGAAGATAACACGAGGGATGCTTGCTCCGTGTCATGTCACTAGCATTGATTTAGATCAGGAGCCAGATAACCCTAAACGTCTCCACTGTTTCTCCTCAAAGAATAGTCTGATGTGGTTTTGTTTTACATTCATTCGGTCTGCATTGAAGCACAAATGTTCCACAGTTTGATGTGAGCACAAAGCCAGAATCACACCCCGGCCTGCGCACACGCTGGGCAGACTTTAAGCAGCGATAAAGTCGACTGGCAGCGGTTTTGTCCGCGGCATGTGGCCCTGCTGTTTTATCTAATGAGGAAGTGGAGTCTCTCCGTGGTGACAGATGTGATCGCGGCTCTTTGATTGTCGAGGGCTGTGACTGCAGGGTGAAGGAGAGATATTTCCAGACGAGTCCGCGACAGGGTTCGTGTCTGCGGTGTCATCTGGGCAATAAATGCCCAACCTTACAAGTTGTTGTGGTTAAAGACATTAAACTGGAGGGGAAAAAAAGTCATTAGAAACAGTATATTAGGGCCTTTGTAGGTAAAATATATGAAAAAAAATGCAGATTCACAGCAATGTGTCTTTAAGCACAGATGGTTATGATAGTATGAAAGTTTCTGCTTATCGATGGTCTGTTTTAAGTTACGTAAGGTCTTTGTGTTACATAAGAAGCCGCGTCGGCGGGGTTATGAGGTTGATCCAGTCAAGAAGAAAAGTTTTTTTCCTCTTAAATGCTTCTTTACTATAGTTTTTTTTACTTTAATCTCAAAAATTCAACTTTTTTCTTGATCATTGCCCTCTCCCTGTTGGTTTTTAACCCTATAATGGCCACAATATCCTACCATACATAAAACTAAAATCTTATTTTCATTCATGTTTTAACGTATTTGCGTATTTTTCCATTTCCTTCCATCTTTTAAATTGTATTTTCGTCTTTCCTTTTCTCAGTCTTTTGCTCTGTTTTGTCTTTGGAGGATTTTAGTGGTGGTTAAGTTACTGTTTACGTCTTTATTTGTATATGTACATCTCATCGTTTAGCCTGCAGTGGAGCATTTTTCTTCACACTTAAGAATCTGAATACTGTTTTTTTGTTAAGTATGGAAGCCCCAAAGGGTCATGGAGAGAGTGTTTCTCAACCAACACACTAACTGTTCTTATGGATCTGCGGGAATTCAAATTACAAGGAAAGACTAAACTTAATGTGAAGCAAAACTAAACTGAATACAAAAAACCCATAGAAATGAAACTATCAATAAATAAAATACAGGATGTCCTCGTTGCATCTTAATTGTCATATATTGCTGTAGAAAGTAAACCAGAGAAGTAATTTGTACTGGAGGGATATTCTAAACTCAAAGTAAAAGTCTTTATACACGAAAAGATTGAAAACAAAAAGCCTCTTTAGTTCATATCAGTCAGCTGAGACACCGCAGGCTTGTTTCGCTGTGGAATTAAAATAGTGCAAACAAAACCTTGAGGGGATTTAGAGGAAAAACTTGACAGTTTACCTCCAATGTGACCTGAATGTGAAAAAAAAGTTAACCAGTTAGTCCTCCCTCTGCTCTGTGGAGGAGATGTGTGACATCAGAGTTGTGCTTCATCTGATAAAGATGCATGTTTCCCCAACAAGGACTTACTTTCGACAAGGTCGCTGTTGAAATGTCGTCACTTCCGGCCCTCGTGTGTTTGTTTACACCTGTGATTGTCTTCATGAGCCGCTGAAGCTGTTTTCCTTCACAGACCTGCACCTTAAACCAGGACGGGAACACAGATTCTGTCTTGTTTCTTTGGGGGGATAAAAAGTTCCCCTCCTTCGTATTTATGGAGCCGCCGGCTACAATCACAGTCTCCTCTCAAAGCCTTGACGGTGACGTCATTGAGCTCGTTGTTGGTTCCTCCTCGGTCAGGCCGAGCCAGTCTGATTTCTGCTTGTCGTGACATTTCCATGAAAATGTATGTTCCCTACATCAAAAGAGTGGATTTTTGATTGTCCGACTGTTGCTTTAGCACCAGTGTTATGTCACAAAAGCATCACTTTGCCATCAAATTTAATAGACACGTTTAACAAATGTGGCTCAGGTGGTAGAGCGGTTGTCCTCTAATCGCAAGGTTGGTGGTTCGATCCCCACCACAGTCAAAGTGTCCTTGGGCAAGACACTGAACCCGAAGTTGCTCCCAATGGCAGGCAGCGCCTTGCATGACAGCTCTGTCACCACTGGTGGATGAATGTTTATCTGAATGAGGAACATTGCAAAGCGCTTTGAGTGCCGTGACGGTAGAAAAGCGCTATATGAGTGCAGACCATTTACCATAAACCTTTTAAATTTTGCATCAACTATTTACATGCACCAACCACCTTAGACAATAAACTATTCAAAATGACTTGGCTTTTAATCATGTTTTCATCAAATAATCCAACTGGACTCAAGATAGCAGCTGAATGCTTCCCATGAAATGAAGGAATTCTGATTTTCTTCACTGTAATTCTTGTAGATGATTAAAAACATGCGAGTTCTAGCGGGAATAAGTTGATCCAATCATATTTCTAACTCTAGTTTCTGTCATCAACACTCCACCGACCGTTCAGTTGGTCGAAAAACCTTCACAGTTATTCCTGAAATCCATCCGTCAAGGAGGTGCGGAAAGAAGCTGAAATGTACATAAACCGACTGAGGAGGGAGGCGGTCCATGTAAGAGCGTATTTAAGCAAAGCGATTGGAAGCACATGTGCACCATTAGCCATCCAAGGTGTAAAAACAGAAGCTGAGAGAAACCCAGGAACGAAACAGAAACTCTCTCTCTCGCCGCTCTTAGTGCACAGTCATGTTTATATTAGGCCTTACATAATGATTATCATATGTCCTGGACTCTGTGTTTGCACACTGTGCAAGGTCTTTTTCCGCCCGTACAGTGTGTCAGCGTGTTCTGTGATATCGTACCAGATGTTACAATGTCACCCAGATAAAGTCCTGCCGGCTGACATGAAGCGTCTGGCCCTCTTCCTCCGTTATCCAGCAGGCTTTGTCTTGACTTTCTCGCAATATTTCTGAATGTTTGGGCAGCAGAATCCAGTGTATTAGAAGACAAGGGTTGGCCTGTGTGTGTAGAGGGTGTGTTCATTCCAGGCAGTGGTTTGTTTTCACCGCGAGAAGGACGAAATTCTCTTCAAATAATCAAACCAAGCCCGTGAAGGTTCGAGCGTCGTGAAAGGTCTCAAATGTAGAGCACAGCAAGCACAGAGCTTTATGGTGCAGGGAGAAGGATGCTGACATCTGAAAGAGCTAAACGAAGCGAACTGCATTCTCGAGCAGCGCCGGAGAATGTAAATGACATAATGTTGAGCTGAAGGTTTAGCCGGCGTCATTACCAAGTGGTGCTGTGTAGATAAACACCGTGGAAACTCTGCAATATCTACAAATAGAGCACTTTCCATGTGCTCATGTAATTAATTTGCCAGAATCGACCATTATTTCGATTCTATTTTGTGCTTCTTTTGTTCCATATTTGTTGTGTTGCAGGTTTTTCGGTTGGAAGCTGCCCTCTTTTGCTTATTAATGTAGTAGTTTTTATTAGATTTATTGCACAAAAGTGCCACAAATCAAAGCACACTTATTATAATTTAATGTCCTCTCTCCGCTTCTGTCTTGCAGATCTGCAGGAGTTCACGGTGAATGGATGGCCTGTCAGCGCCGCAGTGCTGGAGCTCTGTAAAGTCATTCCCGTGTTTTAATGCGAGCATCCCCGAGGAGTTTAGTGTGTCATCGGGACCTTGAGACGCTACCACACACACACACACACACACACTGATGTTCAAGCCTCGTAGCTCTCGCAGCAGACCTGGCAGACCTCTAATCTCTGAAAGATTGATGAGGTCTTGTCCGAGTGCAGGAGGCCTGGCACGCTGTCGATAAGGCGGCTTTCATTTCACCACGTTTTACTCCTCGCTCCTGCCTTTCTTCTCCTCTTTTTACTCCGCGCCGAAGGACATGGGGGCCGGCTTTGAAGCGTGAGAGAGGATTATGACATGCCCGAGGCCTCCGGGTGAGAAGGGACGGCGTTTTAAGAAACGGGAACCATGAAATGCCCCGGAAACAACACTTCTGACTGCTGCGTGGTGGTGGCTGAGCAGGATGCCCGAGTCGGCATGTCAAGCTGCTGGAGCTGGAATATAGTGAAGCTACAGAGGAACGAAACGCAGAGCTGAGAGTAGCTGGGCGCACGCGAACAACGTCACGCTCAGAGAGTCTCACGCGGGACAATGTGCAACATCTCCTTCTGTGATGTGGACAGCAAGGTGGACCAGTTCTTCCAGCCGACGCTTTACATCATAGTCATCGTTCTGGGGCTGCCCACTAACTGCATGGCGCTGTGGGCCGCCTACATGCAGGTGAGGCGGACGCACACACACACACACACACACACACACACACACACACACACACCACCTGTCACCACCAGCATCACACTAAGCGGTGGTTTCCAACCGACTGGTGGGAGCTGCCACTTATCAGGTCAAAAAGTACCTTCGCTTCTAATAGCAGGATTTATTTTGGATTTTTTTCCCCCCTTCTTGGTTAAGTGACAAGTTTCTAGAGAATCCCTCAACAAATCTGTGTATGCCTGCAAACAGCAACGTAAAAACTTTAGAAACTTGTTGATCTTTTAAGTTTTAGTTCAAGAGCCGAAATAAATGGGACGATGTAATGTTTATGGGTGTAAATGCCTTCAAGCAGCGAGCCCCCAGTGCGACTCCTAGTCACCCCCCGTCTCCCTCCATTGTCAATATCTATTAAGATGAGATAAGATAAGGTAAAACTTCATTAATCCCAAATGAAATTCTTGAGCCAGATATTGCTCAGATAAAACAGAATGATGTAAGAGCAGAAATGCAGTGCCTGAAAAGCAGAAGTGCAATAAATACAAGTACAACGCATGACTAATAAGATAAATAGAGTAAAGTAAGGCTAGAATAGAACAGTAAAACCTAATGCTGGCAATTATACCAAGGTAATATGTAAAATCACAGATAAAATTGAAATATTGCACCTAAAAAATGAGGTGAAAAGAGAATATTGCACATGTAATCAAATTGTTGCACAGGAAAATGACAGGATACAGAAATGGTGCAGGTGAAACTGAAATATTGCACCTGAGAAATTAAATATGTGATATTGCACATAACATTGACAGTGTTGTACGTGAGAGTGAAATCTTGCACAATATTGCACATGAAAATGAAATGATGCTAAAACTGATGTTGCACAAACTAATAAAGGCAAAAATGCCCCCCCAAAAAAACAGCTAAACCTAAAGTGTGATTGAAGCTGGGCTATAAAAGCAGAGTTATCACTGATTCAAATACAGCCGGTTTCTAAAGTTCGCCTTATCCACTCTTACTGTACGTCTGCACTAAGACCAGTTCATAACATCAACAGGCTGAGTTTACTCAAGGGGAACTCACAGTTGTGGCGACTGATGCCTCTCATTTGCATGACATTTTCCAAGCAACACGTCCAACTCCTGCCTGCTAGATTGGGTCCGCAGAGGCGTTGAGATATTTTCCCATACAGTATCAAACATTTGCAGTGTTTTCCCACAGAACGTCCGTTTGCTTTGGCAGCAGCGCCACGGATTGTTATTGACTTTTCATTCAAGCGAGTCCAGTAACTCAAATCTTTGGAGGGCAAACTTCATTAAAAATGAGCAATATTTCAATGTTAGATTGTTGTTTGTGTTCCAGCGCAGCGTCGGGGCCAGTTTCAGACTTTCGGACGATTGATTTTTTTTTACTTCACAAATACACTCAGATGAGCTTAAGTGCCACATGGGTGCATTATGGTTACCAAACACCCCTCGGTACTCTGTAGTATTACCTGCAGAGAACCACCACCGGCTTCATTAATGATGCTACCTGAACTGAATCCAGGACATGACTTGGTGTGCTGTTTATTTACCGGGGTATAGTTCTGCCTAAATATTAATTTTGTAACATCAGTGCTGCATGGGAAGCTGAGCTGTCTCCTATGAGCTGGATTTCAATTCAAATCACGTTAGAAAAACTGACTGGAAGCCAAAGCTACAGACACACTGAGCTCTTTAATCCCTCAGTTGCAGTATAGAAGGATAACAAAAGGGTTATATTTGTTTTATAAGGCATGACTTATGTTAATCTGACACTAGAGAACAATAACCGATAAGACCGAACCAGCCACTGACAGCTTTTGCATCTCTTCAGTGTTTTGACATTCAGGAAACCAAATGATTTGCAGCTGATGCAAATAAACATATTTTCTCTGACATTTTAGAAGTTTGCATAAAAGCAATACATGAGTGAGTTGTGAGACGATGACATCCATCCCTTTCTTCTGACTTCCTTCAGGTGCGCCAACGCAACGAGCTGGGCGTCTACCTGATCAACCTCTCCGTGGCCGACCTCCTCTACATCACCACTCTTCCTCTGTGGATCGACTACTTCCTGCAGCACGATGACTGGATCCACGGTCAGGAGAGCTGCAAGCTGTTTGGCTTTATCTTCTATACTAATATCTATGTCAGCATTGCCTTCCTCTGCTGTATATCACTGGACAGGTACCTGGCCGTGGCGTACCCTCTGCGCTTCGCGAAGGTTCGACGAATCAAAACGGGTACGTGCTTAAAACTAGCTAATGTATTTGCAACTTGAACACCTCCGATAAAGCAAAGTACTCTTAAATGTGACACATTGTCTGCTGCATCCCATCCTGTTTTTCCAACATTAAGATTAAGGGACTAGAGGGGATGTGCATCCACAAATCTTCCATTCTGTGACACAACAGGAAACTCAGTTTGTGTAGAGATAAGATGGCTTCCAGGAAGTCTGCTAAAGTCATTATATTTCATACTTTTTAATGACTTCTACCTTAAACCCAGTTTATAAATGAGGCCACAGACAAAAGACACAACACGATGAAATTCACATGAGTAGTTTTTGGATGGAAGCTCTTCATATAGACGACTTTGAAACACGGCACGACAACATTTTGGTGCAAAACAGATGGTATTAGGCTTACTGCTTGGTGAATGGTTATTTAGATTGGTGCATGATGTCACTTATTAGCCATGTTTTTATTCCTGTTTTACCAAGAATGTCCTATTTTGAGAGGAATGGAAGTTACCTGAATGTCTCATGTTCTTTCTCCTGACCTTCATGCAGCCATCCTGGTCAGCGCCATGGTGTGGATCATCGAGATCGTAGCCAACTCCGCCCCTCTCTTCCACGACGAGCTCTTCCAGGATCGCTTCAACCACACCTTCTGCTTTGAGAAGTATCCCATGCAGGACTGGGTGGCCGGGATGAACCTCTACAGGACATTTCTGGGCTTTCTGGCTCCGTGGACGGCCATGCTCATCGCCTACCGAGGGATCCTTGCAGCGGTGCGTTGCAACGTCTCGACGGAGCGCCAGGAAAAGGCCAAAATTCAGCGGCTGGCTTTGAGTTTGATTCTCATTGTTTTGCTGTGCTTTGGACCGTACCACATCCTGCTCCTGGTGCGGAGTGCCATGTTCCTGAGGAAGCCGTGTGACTGCAGCTCAGAGGAGACCTTGTTTGCGGCGTATCACGTGTCTTTAGCGCTGACCAGCCTGAACTGTGTGGCCGACCCCATTTTGTACTGTTTCGTCAACGAGGGGGCGAGGCACGACGTCGGCCGAGCCCTCTCGGCTCTGCTGTCCGCGGCCTGCCACCGGCGCTCCTCCTCCTCGCCGTCGCACGCCGACATACTCAACGCTGGCTCTGTAACCATGGAAACGCCGCTGTCCGCAAAGAAGCAGCCCTGCGTGTACGCCGACGGAAGCAAGACGAGCAGCTACAAGACTGAGCTGGTGGCTCTGAAGGAGGAGTGTTTACAGATGACCATTCTCAGCGTCAGGAAGTGATTTCTGCTGGGAATGTCCAAACCGTTCGGCCCAGACGAAGGAAGAAGCTCCTGACGCTTCCAGGGTCTGATTTCTGCAGGCCTAAGAGGCTGAAATCAGATGCAACCAGTGGCTGTAGATGTGTGGCGTTAAAGCTTCCACTAGACGGCACATTATCAAGCCTAGAAGTAAACGAAACGCACTGTCTGTCGCCATGGTAACAGACGGATGCGAGGTGGACGTGCTTACACAGCAGAATGTGGATGGAGAAACTACATCCTGCAACCAAATTAATCGTGATTTTGTCATGCAGTTGGTGAAATAACATTACATTGAGGGTTTCACACATTAAGGTTCTATGTTGCTGATGTGGTTCGACTGTCAGCACCTCTAACCTCCGCACAGCTGCACTGCATGCTACAGTTAGCATGCTAACATTGATTTGGTCATTAGATGTAAAGGTATCCTCATGAAGTCAAGTGTTGGACCAGAAGAAGTTTTGATCTGCTGGTGGCGCTGTATGAAAAGTCAGGGGATCACCAACATCCTTAGGATTCAGCCTCAGCTCAGCATGAATCTTTGTACCAAATTTCACACCAACATATCCAGTAAACGTTGAACTATTTCAGTTTGGACCAAAGTCTTGGACCAACAGATGGACAGACCCACTGTAAGGATCTAATCAACACAGTTTGGATATTTGGACAGTTTCCATCTGTGCCAGGAGCCGTTTGTGATGCCGAGGAAGGCACTCTTGAATATTTAAGATATTTAAACAGAACCACTCTCTGCATGGCTGAGCGTCGCAGGTGGTCTGAGAGGAGACGCCTTGTCGCATGGACACCCAACTGGACAAAAGGCAGACGCCCCACTTTGTGATATGTAAAAAGAGCAGCAGAAGGTTAATAAAAAAATAAATATTGAGGATTACTAGTCAGAAACGTTTGTAATGCAGGTTGGAAATGTCTTTATCGTTACGTTAGTTTATTTTGAAGGAAATAATGAAGCCTTATGAAGTACCTCAGCTTGTAAACTGTGACAGCATGAAGGCTTAGAGTCAAAGTGTCTTTCTTTTGTCATGTGAGCCATGTTTTTATTTTTATTTTTATTTTTACCACATAAATCTCATTTTGCTGAGATGTAACAGCCTTTAACTGCATTAGTCTGAAAGTTTGGCATTTAACTATACTGCTGATATGTTGTGGAGCAGAAACTCAGTGTCATAGGTGTTAAACAAGGAAGTTGTTTTTTTTTAAATGTGAGTGCATGCATTTGCCAGTAATCATAGGAACATGTGAACGTACACGCTGGAGGTATAAAATAATTTTTTTATTGCTTAAAAGTTCTGACAGTGTTGCAGATAATCACATCTAATCTTCCCGAATCCAAACTACAAGTGTGGGATAAAAACCAGTACAACTAAATACGTTTACATTCCAATTAGAGACAAAAAGACTTCTAATTAAACAGTCCTGAACTTCCAGAATAATACGCAGCACATTGTTGTTTTCATTTCCACTTTTCCTCGCGTCACATGTTGCACAAGAGTTTTTAGATCTTCCTCTAAAACTGATTCGTACGTTCCTCCTTGATTCACTGCTTGCTGCTAAATGTCATATTAGGGTAAAAGAAAACAGGAAGTGATAATAATCTATGCAGTGTTAGATGAGGAAGTGATTTAATAGAATTCAGATAAACCCGGCGGCGTGGCTCAATTCAAAGCAATGCAGCGTTGATTGTTTTTAATGACACATTCCCAAATTGACCATTTAAAATGTGTATTTCTTCTTTTATAGGTGAGGCTGATTCATTTTAATGTAAATATAATTGACGGTTTTAATCTACCGGTGCTAGTATAGCTGCCATTTTATGCCATAATTAAATAGCTGCACATATTTGAGACATGAGGGGGTCTTACTTTTTCCTTTTTGGGAGCTTTTTTTATACAGTAAATCCAACACAAAGTGACCAAATGATGCAGCATTGTAGATAAAGTGTAAATGTCACTTTGAAAAACAAGAGCAGGTGCAGCTTCAAATTCAAAAATCAGCCTTTCTCAGTTTGCTTTTCGATGCGGGCGTATGTTTTTGTCCTGTTGGATCCACGGTTATAACATTTCATCTGTTTTCTCAGAAATACAGCAACAAACAAATTTCCTTGTGTGCAGTATTATTGGCTCATAAACTTCCAGTCCAACCTGATGATCTTCTGGAGACAGACAGGGGTCCTTGTTGCAGGTACTCCTGATCCCAGCAGCAAGGATTTTTTTTTTTTGGCATGAAAGCTAAACTCAGTGCGATGATGTAAAGTCGAGTTTGTGGAAACTTCCAGCTTGTTAGTGTCCAGCGCTGCTCTATCTACCACTGGTTTTGTTGTGCATCTGTGTGTCGGTCTGAGAGGAGGTGCCAGGCTTCATAACGTGTATCTGTTCATCAACAGTGTCAGTGAGAAATAAATTATGCATATGA